GAACTCTGGTGGCCTTGTGGTAAGAAGTTGCTGTGCAATTCCAAAGGCATGTAGTCCAAACCCACCAGCTACTCTGCGGTTAAAGGATGGGCAGTCTCTTCCCTTACAATTGATTGCCTTTGAAAACCCACATGTGATCAACTATGGGTTGCTTCCAACTTGATGGCACATGACAACAACAAAAAAAGGTATTACGCAGACAGTTTCACTATTAGGAATACATCTAAGACAAATTAAAGTATATGTCTAAGAAAAGACACACAAATGTTCATAACAGCTTTGTGTAATAGTACAACTCTGACAGCAACACAAATATCACCAACAGGTGATTTCTTGGACAAACTAGAATATCCCCACAATGGAATAATATTCAGCAATATAAAAGTGTGTAATTGTGTTTGGGAGAACATTGTTCTAAGTGGTTCAGCACTTGTTTGTTGGTTTGCTGTACTGAGATAACTTGGGGTTCCTGAGACACTGAAAGCTGGGTCAGTAGTGTGTCAAATACCATAACGGTTACCCATGGTGGACAGGTTTTAGTGGGGTTCCCTGATTAAGACAGATTAGGAAGCAGGATGGGCCATCTACTGCTTAAATAACAGGCCTTTGAAAACCCTAAGAAGCAGTATCTGCCATAATGGACTCTTGTCCATTATGTGAAGTGTAAGGAAGTGTGAGGATGGCGCAGGACAGAACAGGGTTCAGATCTTTTGTTTATAGGATCACCATGAGTTGTACTTGACTCGTCAGTATGAATTTTTAACACATGCAACAAGATAGTAAGCCTCAAAACAGTTATACCTAACGCCAGGTATAAAAAGAACATATACAGTATTCCTCTATTTTTAAAAATCTAGAACGTATCATCTGTAGTGACAGGAGGTAGATTAGTGGTTGCTGTAAATGAAGACAAGTGTGGATGAGGAGAAGGTACAGAGGGAGAGAGAAATTGGTTACAAAGTTGTATGATTAAATGCTTGGGCAATGGGCACATAGGACCTTGATTGTAGTAATAGCTGAACCACAATAAAAATGTATCACACTGTGTACTTTAAAAATGTAAAGTTTATGGTATGTCAATTATTTATATATCCTTAGAACTTGGGCTTTGAGCTGAAATCTCACATCCTCATTTCTGACTCTGATAGTCCTTCCTGTCCATTGTCTTGCCCTGTCTCCTCTCCATACCTCCCAAGCTCTATTATTGTTGTTGTTGTTGTTAGGTGCCATCAATTTAACTCGTGGTCTTTTATGTGAGTGTACCGTCAAATCAGATCTGACTGGTACAGGAGGAGATTGTCCCTCCTTCCTCGGCAGAGCATCTGGGGGATTCGAACCGTGCACCTCTGGGATTGTAGTTGCAGCTCCTTACCACTAGGCCACCAGAGCTCCCCTTCAACTCGTGGTCTTTGTCTCCTGTGTCATCTCTCTCTTTCCAAGCATGAGATCCTTCAAGGAATATCATCTCCTCGCAACATGTCTCAAGTATGTGAGATGAAGCTTTGCCATCCTTGCCTCCGAGGAGCCTTCTGGCTTCACCATCTTCAGGACATAACACCACAGATTGAGCTCAAACGCATGAGTTTTGAACTGCATGATGAATAAGGATGACAGAAGGAAAATCGGTGCCTTTGAGTTGTGTTGTTGGAGGAGAGTACTCACTGTGCCGTGGATTGTCAAAAGAACAGAGAGAAAGTGCAGCTAACGTTCTCATTGGGGGCAAGGATTGCGAACCTTCATCTAGCATACTTTTGGCATGTTGCTAGGAGAGGCTCTTCCTTAGAGAAGGATATCATGCTTGGAAAGGTGGAGAAATGATGAAGGTGAGGAAGATCCTCAACCAGGTGGAGTGATAGAGTGACTGCCGCAGTGGGCTCTAGTGTGACAGAGATGATGAGGATGGCACAGGACAGGACAGGGCTCAGATCTGTTTTCTGTAGGGTCGCTATATTATTGTTGTTGCTGATTGCCTTCGAGTCAAGCATGACTCATAACGACCCTGTGAACAAAAGTCCTGAAGCCCCTCTACAACTGTTGGCATTCATCAAAGTTCATAGAGTTTCCAGAGGCATGTTGTCTAGGAAGTAGAGGTACAGAGAAGAGACAGACAGACAATGGACGTGAAGGACGATCAGAGTCAGAAGTAAGGATGTACCCAAAATCTCTGTAAATGTTCATTAAAATTAATAAAATTTAATAATTAAAAAA